ATTTCAGTCTTGTTCTGATATTAATTAACCACATGACATTGGGTATATCAATTAACTTCTCTGACCTCATCTGATAGCATCTGTAAAATTGGGATTGTAAGATTCTAACTGACTGAGGGCATTGCCCTGGATTAAGTAACTTCTTAAACTCTCGTAAATTTCTAGGATCTGTATGTCAACAATTTTAATAGCGATTTATCACTCATTGTAACTCACTGATGAGTTAGAATGAGATAGAAGGCTAGAGGAAATGACTCTTAAATATATTCATCTGGATACATATGTATTTTGTGTAATTCAGGAGTGAGTCCGCTAGCAGGAAGACAAAGGTAGTAATATTTTGTAATGGGGGAAGATGAAATCTTTCCAGCCCCCTTGACATCTAATATAGCCAACACTGCTTAAAGAATGTTCGAGTCCCCTGACATTGCTTGTTGATATGTTTTACTATAATGAAATTGGCTAAAAACCAATATATAGTGGACATGAAAGTAAGCAGAGAAGAGATGAGTGGTCTCTAGCTGGCACATCAAGGGCAGTCATTTAGGGCAAGGAACAATTAAAAAGACTGCAATTCTTTCACTGGTGTCTTTACCCTGGATCTATTATTATCTTAACACACACACACACAAAGAGATTACTCAGAGTTATTCATTAAGAATAAATAAAAAAATTTATGACCAGGCGTGGGCTCATGCCTATAATCCCAGCACTTTGGGAGGCCAAGGCAGGCGGATCACTTGAGGTTAGGAGTTTGAGACCTGGCCAACGTGGCGAAAACTCTCTCTACTAAAAATACAAAAATTAGCCGGGTGTGGTTGTGGTGGCATGTGCCGGTAATCCCAGCTATCCAGGAGGCTGAGGCAGAATTGCTGGAACAGGGATGCAGGGGAGGGGTGGCGGGGGAGAGGCTGCAGTGAGCTGAGATTGTGTCACTGTACTCCAGCCTGGGTGACAGAGCAAAACTCCGAAAATAAATAAATAAATAAATAAATAAATAAAGTATGATATGTAGTCTTTACAAGAAATGTGCCACTATTGATAGATGTCAGTAAAAATAATGCTGAGAATAGCCTTATTTACATTTTGGAAATGACAAGAAAAGCTATAAACTGTAGGTGAATATGCTAAATCAGCAAAAAGCTAATTTTACCAAAATATGTGAGAAAGAGTGCATTGATAGAAAAACAAAGACAATTCTTGTGTACAACTAACAATAATAATATGCAAAACCAATTACCACATTTAAAGGACTAGCAACATATCTATTGGAGATTAAACGTCAGGTCAAGGTAAGAGTCAAGATTCACTGACAGGCAAATTAAAAGTTAATATTCCCCAAAATTGGGATGACTGTATAGACTCCACAGTGATGTTAATAGTTATTCAAATACTTTTCCTCCCTAAACTCACTTTAAAATTTTAACTGAAAACTACACAACTAATATCAATTATGAACATCCTCAGAATTATATTCTTCTTGAGATATAATTCTAAATAACTTAAGACATATTCAGAAAGCAGAAGAAAAATTTTTATCATGATAACGTCAAGTAGATAAAGGAACACATGCAATTATTAACTAAGAGGAAGATAAAATGTTATGAATAATTTCTGTAACAATCTGGGGATTCCCTATGGACACCTACCCATTCATCAAGAAAGCCTATATAAATTATTTCTTTGATGTAGATTATAGATTGGCTAGCTATGAATAAACAACTGATGAACAGAAATCATCACACTTTAGCTTGGTTGCCTTACTCTCTTAAAGGCTCATTCTACTACATCAATACATATATACTATTAAGTACCAGTGTTATGTAAAACTAAACAAAATATCAAGTGTCATTTCCAGGAACTTACAAGAAGAAAACCACAATGATGTTGGAACAAGTGAAGCTTTTGTTGGCATCTTGATGCTATCTATACATATCATGATCCTGGTGCTAAGAGGAACTGAAATTCAGAGGGAAGCTAAAGGGCTGGGGGTCTAAGGGGAAACAAGTCATAAGCAAGAGAAAAGGGTGTTGGGGCAAAGGAAATTTCCTTTGTTATTTTAGATATGTCTATTTTACCTGAATTTAACTGCTTTATTTTTATAATATAAAATAAGTTAGGCCAGGTGCGGTGGCTTATGCCTGTAATCCTACCACTTTGGGAGGCCATGGAGGTGGATCACTTGAGGCTGGGAGTTCGAGACCAGCCTGGCCAACATGGCGAAACCCCGTCTCTACTAAAAATACAAAAATTAGTCAAATGTCATGGTGCATGCCTGTAATACCAGCTACTCAGGAGGCTGAGGCAGAGAACTGCTTGAGCCTGGGAGGCAGAGGCTGCAGTGAGCTGAGATCGCGCCACTTCATTCCAGCCTGGGTGACAGAGGGAGACTCTGTCTCAAAAACAAACAAAAACAAAAACAATAAAAACAAATGTTGGCTGGGCGCGGTGGCTCAAGCTTGTAATCCTAGCACTTTGGGAGGCCGAGGTGGGCAGATCATGAGGTCAGGAGATCGAGACCATCCTGGCTAACATGGTGAAACCCCGTCTCTCCTAAAATACAAAAAATTAGCCATGTGTGGTGGCCCATGCCTGTAGTCCCGGCTACTCAGGAGGCTAAGGCAGGGGAATCGCTTGAACCCAGGTGGCAGAGGTTGCAGTGAGCCGAGATCATGCCACTGCACTCCAGCTTGTGATAGAGCAAGACACCATCTCAAAAAAAAAAAAAAAAAAAAAAAAAAGTCAACATGACAATAACAAGGGTCATAACTAGTTGATCAGCTATCTTTTTTATAAAAGGATGTCCTGAATAGTTATCTTAGCCACCTAAAACCTAGATTAATACATGTAAGAAATTAGGAATGCTAAACCACATTCACTAAGTGTCACTGTGACATTTCTTTTTCTTTCTTTCTTTTTTTTTTTTTTTTTGAGGAGTTTCACTCTTGTTGCCCAGGCTGGAGTGCAACGGCTCCTGCCTCAGCTTCCCAAGTAGCTGGGATTATAGGCATGCACCACCATACCCAGATAATTTTGTATTTTTAGTAGAGATGGAGTTTCTCCATGTTGGTGAGGCTGGTCTCAAACTGCCAACCTCAAGTGATCTGCCCGCCTATACCTCCAAAAGTGCTGGGATTACAGGCGTGAGCCATTGAGGCTGGCCTAAGAAATAGGCTTTAATCAATTTGCATTATTTGGAAGGTAGCTATGCTTACCACTACACCATCAATGCTACTTCCTTTTATTAAATAAACACTATGAACCAAGTTATTGACCACTAGGGTTTAAAAACATGCTTACTTTTTTTTTAATTTATAAAAATAAGAATTTTTTATTTTTACCTTATCTAGTAGCAAACATAAAACTATCCTGACTTTAAAAGCCAACATCGTTCTTTCTCCTACTTGGATCACAAGTTCATAAACAGTCAAGCAAGTGCCCCATAGAAAAACCCCAGAATTGAAAACAGGTATATTCCCTTTAGAAAAATAAAAACTAGAATGTTTAGCTATTAAAGTGTTTCCCCCCCTAGACTAAGATCAAGTGACTTTACTGCAGTGGCTCAAGAGTGGCTGACTCCCTCCTTCTGAATCAGTCCATCATAGAACACCTATTGCTAAGTAGCAAGCCAGAGGCTTAGACTGGATCCCTCATAATTGAAGACTTCAAAGTGTTCAGAACTTCAAGCCTGGCCTATGAAGTAAAATCTTTTTTTTTTTTTTTTTAAGTACAATTGCAATTTTATTTTTCTCCAGAGGATAGTTTTTCTTGAGTCCTTAAGAACTCTGCTCCTTATATGGGCTTTGGTGGGGGTCATGGGGCAGCCCCCACAGGTCTCATTGAGGTAGATGTGTTTGGCCCTTGTGGGCTTCATGAGCTCAAATCCTGACTACTGTGCTGTGAATAGCACAGCTCACAAAGTAATGCAGCTTCACATCCAGCCTGGGAAGTACACAGGTGTCAAGGACACACACTTCAGAAACATCACTGACTGCTACGGCCTCTACGTTTCAAATGACGAATTTCTTAATGGCCTTGTCATTGGGCACACAATGGGCACAGTTCATGGAACAAATAGGCTGCAGTGAATTGCACACCCCCAGTTGTGGCCCTCTTTGGCATGACCATTGTTTCTTCTTATTGTTTCTTCTTTTCTTTGAGACGGAGTTTCGCTCTTGTTACCCAGGCTGGAGTGCAGTGGTGCGATCTCGGCTCACCGCAACCTCTGCCTCCTGAGTAGCTGGGATTACAGGCACGTGCCACCATGCCCAGCTAATTTTTTGTAGTTTTAGTAGAGACAGGGTTTCACCATGTTGACCAGGATGGTCTCGATCTCTTGATCTCTTGATCCACCCGCCTCGGCCTCCCAAAGTGCTGGGATTACAGGCTTGAGCCACCGTGCCCGGCCCGTTTCTTCTTTTCTTTGTGATCTCGGAGGTGCAGACCCAGGAAAGAAGAAGTAAAAATCTTAATTTGAGGGTGACTTAATGAGTCTTTAAGGCCACTTGGCCCAAATACACATTCTGCAAGACAGTTCAAGAAAAAAGGCAAAGTAGCCATCTCCCTCAAGGCTATGGGCTCCACAATACTTAGCACAGTTGTCCCCAAGTGTAAACACTTCCCATGGCATGCTTCTTCCCTGTGTCCCAGGTTAGGCACAATGATGCCAAGGAGCTCTGTCATCAACACTCTCATCCTTTAAGAATTTCAGGTCAGATGTGGTGGCTCACACCTGTAATCTTACCAGTTTGGGAGGCCAAGGCAGGAGGCCAAGAAGTTTAAGGCCAGTTTAAGACCAATCTGGGCAACGTAGTGAAACCCCATCTCCATAAAAAATTTTAAAAATTAGCTGAGAGTGGTGTTGCACACCTTTGGCCCCAGCTATTTGGGAGGCTGAGACAGAGGGGTCAAGGCTGCAGCGAGCCATGACTGTACCACTACACTCCTCCAGCCTGGGCCACAGAGTTAAGACCCTATCTCCGTAAAAATAAAAATAAGCATTTCAAACAATAACAGTGGTTTAATTCTTCCTTTGGTATCTAGAAAAAATTGGTCTTTCTCTATAAAGTCTACTATGTTCTGGTCTAGTTTCAAAAATATAAACACACTGAAATTAAAACATGAGATATTAAGAGTAAAAGATGGTGTGGAGGTCAAAAACCATGAATGAGGTAGTCAATAGCGTGGCTTATATGACCCCTCGCCTGACCTCACACTTCCCAGAGGCACGTTCAGGAAGCCCCTGGTAGCCACTGCCCAAGGCTGCTTCAAGATTACATGTCACCTGGGCCTATGAGTTATTTGAAACAGAAACCTAACCCAACGCCAAGCTGGGCTCTCTTCTGCAATAGAATTTCTGTGCAGTCAGCCCCAGACCCTGGGAAGGCGGTGTGATGCCTGGGAATGTGGTTTCTCCGAGGAGCAGTGATGTTTGGAGATTAATACTGAAAGCAGTGCTTTGTCAGGATGTCATCAAGAATCTGCTGCAGCTCCTCATCTTCAAACCGCCCCTCTAAGCTTGGGATTAGAGCCTTGGACTCCTTGGCAGTCTCTGGGCATAGGTTGGCCAAACAGGTCAACTCAAACTTACGAAGCTTTTTCTGGAGTAGCAAGCTACGAACGCTGGAAATGGTCTCTCTGTTTCTCAGTTGAAACGACTGGAATGGGCTGTACAGTTTAATGTTCTTATGAAGATTTCTGAGAGTTCCTGTTCATTCTCTGCACTCTCATTCTGTTGCTTTTGATGTTCCAGAGGCATATGAACTTTGGAATTTAGAAGCCTCAGCTGTTTCAAACTCTTTAGGAAAGATGAGCTGTAACGTGTCCTCTACGTCACCAGCCTGTGGATCACTGCTGCCTGCCGCCATCGCTGCATGCCACCACCCACCAAAAAACATCCTTACTTTAAAAAATTTTTCAAATAGACACAGCGTCTCATTCTCTTGCCCAGGCTGCAGTGCAGAGGAGCAATCATAGTTCACTGCAGCCTCAAACTTCTGGGCTCAAGCAATTCTCCTGCCTCCTGTCTCAGCCTTTCAAATAGCTAGGACTACAGATACACCACCATACCACCACTCCCAGCTTTTTTTTTTTTTTAAGAGATGGGGTCTTAACATGTTGCTAGTCTCAAACTCCTGGCCTCAAGCCATCCTCCTGCCTCAGTTTCCCAAGTAGTTAGGATTACAGGTGTGAGCCACTGTGCTCAGCAAAACATCCTCACTTTGAAAGAAAATATAGACAGGGGAGTATACAGATTCATACAAGACTATTTTTTATACATTTTTTTTTTTTTTGAGACAGAGTTTTGCTCTTGTCACCCAGGCAGGAGTGCAGTGGTAAGATCTCAGCTCACTGCAACCTCCATCTCCCAGGTTCAAGCGATTCTCCTGCCTCAGCCTCCTGAGTAGCTGGGATTACAGGCATGCACCACCATGCCTGGCTAATTTTATATTTTCAGTAGAGACTGGGTTTCTCCACGTTGGTCAGGCTGGTCTTGAACTCCCGACCTCAGGTGATCTGCTTGCCTTGGCCTCCCAAAGTGCTGGGATTACAGATGTGAGCCACCGTGCCCGGCTCATACAAGACTATTAAAGTGAGTATAAGTGCCCAAAGATGGCTGGGCACAGTGGCTCACGCCTGTAATCTCAGCACTTTGGGAGGCCGAGGTGGATGGATCACCTGAGGTCAGGAGTTTGAGACCAGCCTGGCCAACTTGACAAAACCCCGTCTCTCCTAAACATACAAAAATTAGCTGGGAGTGCTGGCAGGTGCCTGTAATCCCAGCTACTCAGGAGACTGAGGCAGGAGAATCACTTGAACCTGGGAGGTAGAGGTTGCAGTGAGCCGAGACAGCGCCAATGCACTCCAGCCTGGGTAACAGAGTGAGACTCTGTCTTAAAAATAAATAATAATTAAAAAAATAATCTAGACTGTTTTCAATATGGACAATGATGCTTATTTAGAAACAGTGATAAGACCAAGGGTGGCTGTGCTTTTCACTCCCTAAGCAGTCCATTAAGTGACAAATGATGAATCAGGAAATTAAAAAAGGGAAACACAAAAAGCAACCAAACCTAGAAGTCCAGATGAATCTTAGTTCTCTTACATCTTCTTCTTCATGTTTTTAAGGGACAGGGATCTTACTGTGTTACCCAGGCTAGAGTGCAGTGGCGATCATGGCTCACTGCAACCTTGAACTCTCATGCTCAAGCGATCTTCTGCCTCAGCCTCTAAGTAGCTGGGACTATAGGTGCGTATCACCACACTTGGTTAATTTTTAAATTTTTAGTAGAGACAAGGTCTGGCTATGTTGCCCAGGGTGGTCTCAAATTCCTGGGCGCATGCAATCCTCCTGCCTTGGCCTCCCAAAATGCTGGGATTACAGATGTAAGCCACTGTGCTCAGCCTTTTCCATCTTCCTATACTTTTAGCAATCAATTGGATTGCCCGGTGCTATCAGCCATCTAGTAGGATCTTTTATTTTTATATATTTTTTTGAGACAGGGTCTTACTCTGTCACCTAGACTGGAGTGCAGTGGCATTATCTTGGCTCATTGCAACCTCTGCCTCCCAGGTTCAAGTGATTCTCCTGCCTTGGCCTCCTGAGTAGCTGGGACTACTGGCACACGCCACCATGCCTGGCTAATTTTTATATTTTTAGTGGAGATGGGGTTTCACTATGTTGGCCAGGCTGGTCTTGAACTCTTGGAAGCAAGTGATGCCCCCACTTCTGTCTCCCAAAATACTGGGGTTACAGGTGTGAGCCACCATGCCTGGCCTAGTAGGATCTTATATGGGAAGTTTTTCTCCTCTTCAAGCAGGCTTAGAGAGATAGGCTTGTTCTGACCCATATCTCACTAAATATTTACGAGAAAAAGTTTCTCACCATATCCTTACACATAATCAGCATTTTTGTCTGCTGCAGTCCCAGTCATTTCCTACCTTTGGCCAGTTTCAACACGCAGCAGCCTTTTGGACTGAATCCACATTGTGTGTACTCGCATGACATCAGCTATCCTATTCCTAGCAGGGTCTGGGAGGAGGAGACTTACAATGGTGCTTTGAGTCACAACAAAGCCCCTTCCTCTCTATTTAGGATTTCTGACATTTTTTCCTTCCACTTAAAATTCTTCTTCCCATTTAAATAAAAAAAATTTTTTATTAAAACCATAAAGGGAAAGAAGGAGTTGGCAGGACTAAAGGTCTAAAAACTTGAGAGGGAAGAGAGTTAAGAAAAGTTATAAAACTGCTTTGTGGTTACATCTCTTGCCAATTGGTTTCACTGTTAAAGTAGAGCTAAAGCTCATGCACAGAAAAGTATCCCAGCTTTACAAATGGTCAAAAACTCCTAGACTTCAAACATGACCACCAAACATTCAAGAACTTTTCTAATTCTAAGCAGAAAAGCGATTGGCACTCTAAGTTATGGGAAGGGATTGACGGTGTCACACCTAACATAACAGAAGACTACAAGATGCTATTTTTTATCTCAGAAAGAATGCTTCATATTATTATATTACTTTCCAAATATTGGGATTTGGGCCAAATATTTAGCTTTTAAAAATCCAGCTTTCCCATATAGGTGGAATCTAGAGTAAAGGATGGCTTTGCTACCCATCAGGTCTGTTTATTTCATTATAACAACTGTTGTAATGAACCATCCCCATGTACAAAGCCAGATATGTAGGAAAGTATGAGAAAACTGGAAAAATTTACCAGCTCCGCGGCCTCTGGATAGTGTTATAAATCACCAGCATATGTAACTCATTTTCTAGTTAAGTAATTCCCTCTGGGGAGAGGTCTGCAATCCACATGAAGGATCAAATTTCATTAGCAGTTGTAGGAAAACGCAACCCCGTGCATTTGCAAGTCAAAACTCCCGAAAGCTACAGCTAGTCTGGCTATCTTCATTGATTTTTCCTGAGAGAGAATTTTAGCTGATAGAAAACATTTGTTGGAAGGCACAGACAAGGAAGTTGAGAAGAAGAGAAGGGATTCAGCTAGCAGAGACAAGTAAGCCTCAGTCTTAATGTTAAACTCTGGCCTTAACACTCAGTCTGCAGCTGTGTCCAAGCAGAGAGCTATTGGGCAGTAATTCCACCCCCAAAGCTACAAATGATAAAGAGCACAGGAAGACGAATTAAAAGGGCAAGTTTACAAAAACACATAATCCACTCGGTATTAAACTCTCTTCATTTCTAGATACTGATTTGAATCCCAGTGTGAACTTGATTTAGCATTAAATTGGGTCAGAGACTCACAAATCTTAGCATCTACATACATATAAATAATTCATTTGAGACTATTAACTTATCTAACTGGAATCAAAAGACATACTGACCACATATTCCCTTCTCCTCAAAATGGCTTGAATAGAAAAACAGCTTTGTTTAGTACCTGACTTGGCCTTCTCAAGTTTCAAACCCGCCCAATTCTTACCTTGGTTTGAGTTGGTTCACCTTTCTCAAACATCATCTTAAGCCTGTTCAGTGGAACGTTGTATTTCTCTATTTTGCCTGAAGCTTCTGTGTTTTCATTGATTTCTGATTTTTCTACTTCATGCCTGGATTCTCCTAGACAATTTTCCATTTTTTTACTTTTTGTTGAGTGGTCTTTAAGATCCTCACTGTCCTTGATACGGGGATATCGATACTGAACGAGGGCTTCAGGAGGTGACCTGAATCTAGACCTGGGTTGGATTTGTTCCTCTTGGTCAGCTTCGGCTCCAGAAGCAGCGTGGCTTGTCACTTCAGCAGGAGGATGGTCCGCTCTGTGCCTAATCTCAGTGCTGCTGTTCCGCAGAGAGTCTGTCTGAGACTCTGCTCCCAGCCCTGGGTTCTCCCACTTCTTCTTTAACACAGTCAGGGTCCCTCTTCTAAAGCTCTGGGAGAGATTTTCAGTGTTCTAGAAGAACAAGAAGTAGGTGCCAGTTAAAACTTGCCTGCTGAAACATTCAAACATGTTGTTTTTTGTAAAATGAAAGTTAAAACTCCAAGCTGCTCCTGGTCCACTGCTGTTTCAGACAGCTGTGAACAGTTATAGCCCTGCCACATGGAGAAAGCATCCACCCGGGAGAGGGAGAGGGGAAGAGAGAAAAAGTCAGGAGCTGAAGCAGGAAGTGATAAAACAGGATGGCCTTATAAGGACAAAATGAGAAGAAGGGCAAGCCCAGCTCTGATGATAGTTAGATGAGAGACAAGAGATTTTTATCCAAAGATTAATGGGGAAAAAAACAAGAAAGAAAAAGCAAAATACAAGTGCTTTAAACACTGTAACTACACATTAGCAAAAGTTCATCATTGCCTGCCATAAAATAACATGATAAATTCTGTTTTTTTTTTTTTCTTTTAAATAAGACCAAGATGCAGAATAGCTGAAACTATATAATACCATTAATTATGGATAGTGGCAACAAGGATTGAAACTATTTGTAGAACCCTAGAGAAGTCACCAGACTTTTCCAAGTATTTGCATATTTAGTTATATCTGACATAATTTACATGCATATAAGCAGTCAAATTTTATTTTAACATAAGAATTTATTTTTTTTTCTATCTGCTCTTCTCTACAAGTTTATCTGTGTATAAATTCTGTTATTGGGGCTGGGCATGGTGGCCGCACCTGTAATCCCAGCACTTTGGGAGGCCAAGGCAGGCAGATCACGAGGTCAGTAGTTCGGGACCAGACTGGCCAACATGGCAAAACCCCATCTCTACTACAAATACAAAAATTAGCTGGGTGTGGCAGTATGTGCCTGTAGTCCCAGCTGTCCCTGCCTCGGGAGGCTGAGGTAGAAGAATCGCTTGAACCTGGGAAGTGGAGGTTGCAGTGAGCAGAGACTATTGCACTGCATGCCAGCCTGGGCAACAGAGTAAGACTTCATCTCAAAAAAAAAAAAAAAAAAATCAGTTATCAGGATATTCACCGTCTTACAGATCCTTTGAATCTGTATGTGTACATGACATGAATAGATGCTATAATACATGCCATTTTCCCTACTTGACTCCCCACATCTCCCAACCAAGACACCCACTCCTGACAGTTTATATGATATATATGCTCTCATTTTTTTTCTATTTTGTATGCTATATGTAAAATATGCAGACTTCAAAAGCCAGTAACACCACTAATCACTCAGATGAGCAAAGGACACACACTTACATATCTAAGAGAGTTCACGTTCACCTGGGCCAAAAATGGAATTAATTTATACATGTAAGACAGACTGAAAACAACCTGGGAACTGTCACTGTTGTTCCACAACAATAGAGGAAACACGCTTGTTGAAAATTAAATGTCCCGGCTGAGCACGGTGGCTCACACCTGTAATCCAGCACTTTGGGAGGCCAAGGCTGGTGGATCACCTAAGCTCAGGAGTTCAAGACCAGCCTGGCCAACATGGTGAAACCCTGTCTTTACTAAAAATACAAAAATTAGCCAGGTGTGGTGGCATGTGCCTGTAGTCCCAGCTACTCGGGAGGCTGAGGCAGGAAAATCACTTGAACCCATGAGGTAGGGGTTGCCGTGAGCTGAGGTCACGCCACTGCACTCCAGCCTAGGTGACAGAGTGAAACTTTGTCTCAAAAAAAAAAAAAAAAAAAAGAAAAGAAAGAAAAGAAAAAGAAAAATATCCCATACTTTGAAAGGACTGTTCTCCTAAATAAATTGAATAGCACCACCTTCCCAACAAACTGCAAACTCCAATACCTTCTTATTCTCCACTCCTGTAGTCTGTGACTCACCGGTCTTTCAACTAAGAAAGAAAGGACAAATAACCTAGGAATTAAACAGGATTAGCAGCTATTTTGGGAATTAAGTCTCTCACCGTATTACTCTTCTGAATATACTCTGAGAGCCACTTCATCAAGTAGCAACAAGGCTTGAAAAAAATCAGAACTGCTTGAATCTAGTGTTTAAATTTTAGCTTACAAAATGACCCACTGGGGGAAGAATGTATGGATCAGAGATATAAGAAGCTTAAAAAGTTTTCTTGCTGGAAAAGAGAGAATTACAAAACAGCTCCAAAGCTGGTTCTACCCTAATGCCCAGCAGCACTCTTGGCTCTGTACGGTCTCGTGCCACACAATGGATGAGTCATCTAGGTCTCTGACTTCACCTGCCCTACTGTGCCCACACAGGAGCCCTGACAATCCAAGTGGCACTCTGCCTTGGTAACCAGACACTATTTTTCTCAGATACATATCATGTGATCAAAGGATACTTTTCAGTGAAGAAAGCAAATTATAAGACAGCATGATCCCATTTTGCTTTATTTTTTATTCTTATTTTTCAGAGACAGGGTCTCGCTTTGTCACTCAGGCTGAACTGCAGTGGAATAATCATACCTCACTGAAGCTGTTTGACCTCTTGGGCTCAAGTGATCTTCCCACCTCAGCTTTCTGAGTAGCTAGGACTACAGGTGTATGTCAGCATGCCTGGCAAGGTTTTTTCTTTTTTGCGGGGACGGAGTCCTGCTGTCGCCCAGCTGGACTGCAGTGGCACAATCTTGGCTCACTGCAACCTCCTCCACCTCCTGGGTTCAAGTGATTCTCTCTGCCTGAGACTCCCAAGTAGCTGGGACTACAGGTGCACACTGCCACACCCAGCTAATTTTTGCATTTTTAGTAGACATGGGGTTTCACCATGTTGGCCAGGCTGGTCTCGAACTCCTGACCTCAAGTGTTCCACCCGCCTTGGCCTCCCAAAGTGCTGGGATTATAGGTGTGGGCCACTTTGCCCAGCCCAATTGCTTCTTTAAATTTTTCATTGCTTTATTTTATTTTAAATTTATTATTTTTCTCAATTAAAAAAGTAATAATTTATTGGGGGGAAAAACTCACAATCAATATAGGAATGTGTACATGACATGAATAGATGCTATAATACATGCCATTTTCCCTACTTGACTCCCCACATCTCCCAACCAAGACACCCACTCCTGACAGTTTATATGATATATATGCTCTCATTTTTTTCTATTTTGTATGCTATACAGTATGTATTTTTTGCACAAAATCATACTGTAATTACTGTTCTGCACTTTGCTTTAATCACTTAATGTGCTTTTGATATCTTTTCATACCCATACATAAAACCTTTAATTTTTTTTTTTTTTTTTTTGAGATGAAGTCTTGCTCTGTCACCCAGGCTGGAGTACAGTAGCATAATCTCAGCTCACTGCAACCTCCACCTCCCAGGTTTGAGCAATTCTCTTGCTTCAGCCTCCCAAGTATCTGGGCTTACAGGAACGTACCACTATGCCACCTAATTTTTGTATAAGTAGAGATGTGGTTTCACCATGTTGGCCGGGCTGGTCTTCAACTCCTGACCTGAGGTGATCTACCCGCCTTGGCTTCCCAAAGTATGGGGATTGCAGGTGTGAGCCACCATCCCCAGCCTCTTCTTTAAATACCTATTCATGTCCACTTACCTCGGCTGCTAAATGCATTGAAGACTTCTGCTTTATTTGATCTCACTATAGCATTTGACATTACTGACCACTCTCCCTTGTAAAAATTGCTTCCAACTTTTCTGCAATACCCCTTTTTCTTAGATTTCTTCCCATTTTGAGATGCAAGAATGGTGTGGAAAAAATAATGAAAAAAGAGATTTCTTCTCATTTATGTGGGCACTACTCAGTTTTTGTTTTTCGTTCTTGTTGCCCAGGCTGAAGTGCAATGGCACCATCTCAGCTCACTGCAATCTCCGCCTCCCAGGTTCAAGCAATTCTCCTGTCTCAGCCTCCCTAGTAGCTGGGATTACAGGCATGCACCACCACACCTGGCTAATTTTGTATTTTTAGTAGAGACGGGGTTTCTCCATGTTGGTCAGGCTGGTCTTGCACTCCAACCTCAGGTGATCCACCCACCCCGGCCTCCCAAAGTACTGGGATTACAGTTGTAAGCCACCGAGCCCAGCCCTTCTCAGTTTCTTAGTTTTTCTTCTTCTTCTTTCTTTTTTTTTTTTTTTTTAACAGGTTTCTCCTTCTCTTGTTCCTCCCTTATATGGTGGGGTCCCTCAGGGTTTTTGTCTTAGGTCCTCTGCTTTGCTTACTTTACATATTCTCTGTATATAATGTTATCCATCCCAATTTCACCTACCATATAGATTATAGCATCAATAAATACATAGATAGATCTATGCTGTGTGACTATATAGAGTTATAGATCCTATATCTCTAGTCAGATAGCTCTCCTTTTCTACCGATTCTACTTGGAAGTACTAGAAGCATCCTCTTTGCTTAAGGTTGAAGCTTTCCCTTTCTTCCCTTCACTCCTCAGCCTTTAACCTGTTTCTTGTCTTGAATTCTCTACCTTGGTGAATGTGACAACCATCTTTTTGTCTGTCAAGCAGCCCGGTTCTCTTATGCCTTCATGCTGTGTGTGTGCTGCTTCCTCCATTGAGGATACAAAGCCTCTGCTGCTATCTGTCCCCTCTGCTTTGCTAATTCCTTTTGGTCCTTTAGGGTTGAGTCAGGCACTGCCTCTTCTGGGAAGCCTTCCTTGATGTGGTATAGTCCAGGTCCCTCCTAAATTCTCCCCTAGCCCACTCTGAGTATTTCTTTGATATGATACTCATCATACCCAAATTGTAATTATATTTTCCAAATTCTAAACAGTCCCTTGGAGGCAGAGAATACATCTTATTCTTCTTGTGTCTTCAGCAGCTGGGTCATAAGAGATGCTCCACAGATGATTGTCTATACTTGTGGGGTTAACTTCTCTCATCCCATTGTTTTGAACCTAGTCCATTTCAGGCCTTTATCCTACCACTCCCAAACAATACAAGATGACCAATGACCTTCATGTTGCCAAATCCGATGGTCAATTATCAGCTTATCTGCGTGTTTGACTCTGACAACTCCCCTTCTAGAAACTCTTTCTTCACTTGGCTTCTGGCACTTGTTTCCTCTGCTGGTTACTCATTATATCTCCAACCTTTAAATACCAAGGTGCCCCTGAGCTAAATCATGAGACCACTTCTCTGTCTATACTCACTTCCTAGCTTATCTCATGCACCTCATAGCTTTAAGTACCACTGATACTTTGACACACATCCATTTTATCTGCAGCAGGGATCTCTTCCAATTCCAGATTTTTATATAGTATCCAAGTTCCTACTGATATTTCCATTTGGATGTCTTAATAAAACATGTCACAGTTTACATGTGCAAAACTGATCTTCTACTATTTCTCCCTATCCGAATCTGCTTTTACTGTAGTCTTCCCCATCTCAATCAATGGTTTTTGTTTTGTTTTGTTTTTTGAGATGGTAGGCCAGGCGTGGTGGCTCACCCCTGTAATCCAAGCACTTTGAAGGCCAAGGCGGGTGGATCACCTGAGGTCGGGAGTTCAAGACCAGCCTGACCAACATGGTGAAACCCCGTCTTTATAAAAAAGAGATAGAGTCTCGCTCTGTCGCCAGGCTGGAGTACAGTGGTGCAATCTTGGCTCACTGTAACCTCTGCCTCCCGGGTTCAAGCGATTCTTTTGCCTCAGCCTTTCCAGTAGCTGGGACTACAGGTGTGTGCCACCACACCCAGCTAATTTTTGTAGTTTTAGTAGAGATGGGGTTTCACCATACTGGCCAGGATGGTCTTGATCTCTTGAGCTTGTGATCCACCTGCCTCGGCTTCCCAAAGTGCTGAGATTACAGGCATGAGCCACCATACCTGGCCTCAATTAATGGTATTTTAATTTAATTGTGTTTGGGCCAAAAATATTGCTGCTTTTTTTTTTTTTTAATAGAGATGGGGTCTGCTATATTGCCCAGGCTGATCTTGAGCTCCTGACATCGAGTGATTCTTCTGCCTTGACCTCCCAAAGTTCTGGGATTACAGGCACAAGCCATTGGCACAGCCACTGCCACCATTATTGATTCTTCTTTCTCTCTACCTTCAACACACATCCTGACCACATCTCAATACCTACACTGCTACTACTCTAGTCCAAATCATATTATACCTGGCCTAAATCGTTATAATTGTCTCTTAATTATGCTTCTGCCATTATTACTCTATATTCTCTTCCTTCTATTTTTTTACATTTAAAAAAATAGGGTCCTGCCAGGTTGCCCAGGTTAGTTTTGAACTCATGGTCTCAAGTGGTGCTCCCACCTTAGCCAACTAAAGCGCTGTGATTATAGCCTTCTCTTCCTTTTTTTAAAAAAATGTAAGTCAGGCCGGGCGCAGTGGCTCACGCCTGTAATCTCAGCACTTTGGGAGGCCGAGGTGGGCAAATCTTGAGGTCAAGAGATCAAGAGCATCCTGGCCAACATGATGAAACCCCGTCTCTACTAAAAATACAAAAATTAGCTAGGTGTTGTGGCACGTGCCTCTGGTCCCAGCTACTCAGGAAGCTGAGGCGGAAGAATCGCTTGAACCCAGGAGGTGGAGGTTGCAGTGAGCCAAGATTGTGCCACTGCACTCTCACCTGGCAACAGAGCAAGACTCCGTCTCAAAAAAAAAAAAAAAAAAAAAAAAAAAATTTAAGTCAGATCACATCACTCCTTTGCATATAAACCCTCTCCAAAGGCCTCCTTGCATTCCGAATTAAAGCCCAGATCTTTACAATGACACCAAGTGACCTTTCTCTTGTATTCCTCAAATACACCAAGACTGTTCTTGCCTGATGACATTCACACATGCAGTTCCTCTGCCTAATTCTTTCTTCTCCATGGCTCAAGTCCTCAAATCTCTGCTCAAACATCTCATCACAGGCCTTCCTTGACCACCCTAGGCTCTGTCCTCCTTACCTGCCTCATGCTGTTCCACAGCACTAATCACTAGTGACACAATTTCTTTAAAAAAAAAAAAAATTTTTTTTTGAGATAGAGTCTCACTTTGTCGCCCAGACTGGAGTGCAGTGGTGCAATCACTGCAACTTGCCTCTCGGGTTTCAAGTGATTCCCCTGCCTCAGCCTCCAGAGTAGCTGGGATTACAGGCATGCACCATACTCAGCTAATTTTTGTAGTTTTAGTAGAAATGGGGTTTCACCATGTTGGCCAGGCTAGTCTCCAACTCCTGACCTCAGGTGATCCATCCCCTCGGCCTCCCCAAATGCTGGGCTTACAGGTATGAGCCACCGCGCCCGGCCATACTAATGCAATTTCTTTGTTGTCTGTCTTTTGCACTAGAATGTAAATTCCACGAGGGCTGAGAGGTAATCTGTATTCTTAGAGCCTAAAACAGTGCTTGGCATGTAGTAGGTGCTCAGTGAAAACTTGTTAAATGGATGAGAGTGAAAGGAAAGAAGGAAGGAAGGAACAAGTGGGGGAAAAAACAGGCAGAAGCA